TAGTATGTTTTTGTCACCATTTCCATAGCCCCACCAAAAATATTTTCCACCTGCTTAAACCAATAGCTCTACACCCCTGGCCGAAATGTCCATAAAATTAAGTCTGACTTCAAAATATAGTCTATCTCAAATAATGTATGCTCTGTCATTTCCCCACGTAAATATAACACACTTTCCACACTTTCTCAAAAAAAATAAAGTCAGGAAAACGGATTTGTTTCTCGTGCGCACGAGAAACGAATCCGTTTTCCTGACTTTATTTTTTTTCTCTCTCCATTTTTTTTTTTTTTCCATGTCCCTTTAGGGGCTCCGTACCAAACAGTAAAATACACTAAAATCCTAAATATAAAGACAGCAAAACGAAATTGAAACAAAAACCTAACTCAAGCAAAACCTAACTGTAGCAAAACCTAACTGTAGCAAAACAGCAGCTGATACCACCTAGTACGAAAAACACGTTGTACATTAGATTACAATACAGAAGTACACATTTAAATCTTTTAACTTAATTATAAACGTACCACTACTCTGTGTGATTAATACTAAATTACTAAGCAGCGCCAGGGGGGAACAACACACATCCCTCCAGGTTAACAGGAACTTCAGGCATCACACTTGGCCAAAGGAACACCAGGTGGACCAGGATACAAGCTGACAGTAGGCTAATAAAAAGGAATGTAATTCAGTGCTAATATAAGATGCACATGAGGAACATTAAGTTGCTGATCAAACATGACAACAGTATCTGACAATTGACCCACCCTTAAGGTGGCCCTGTGGCAACAGACAGGCAGCAAACGAACCAAAGGCTGCCATGATGCCACAGGTGCCTTAACCCTTGAGTTAATTAGGGGTTGGCTCTGGGGGAGGAGTTGACCTACTTTAGGTGGTAGTGAGTTCAGTGCCTAGAGATGAGTTCGGGACAGTTGCCTGAACCCAGGGTGTTTCTCAATGTCGAGGATGCTTGCTTGGTAGCACATGTCTTCCGAGTCATTTGCTTCAGAAGCGAGGCAAGAATCCTTCCTAGCCTCGGAAAACGAAGAATTGTGGAACAGGCTAACAGGTGTGCGTCATATGAGAGGCCCCGCCTTA